AGCATATTAGCCTTTTATTACATAGGATAATGTTAACAAATAATATCTACAAAGAGCAAAGAGGTATTCTGCCAATAGATTCCTGCTTTGAAAACCCTCCTGCTCCAGTAATTTTCAAACTTTATTGGGAAGGAGAGGAGAGTCCTTGGATGTATGGATTAAAACAAGATATGAGATATCTAAGGCTTGGAAAAACCTTCTTCTGCCTTATACCATGCAGAGCTTTTGCATGTCTCTAGAGGGTAAGCCAAAGTCTCTTGAATCTTGACTCCAATCACCTCAGAAACATTGGGGTCGGCAAAGGATGCAATTATTTGGCAAAATGGTTGGGAGAGAGAAATGTATTTCTTTGGGTGAAAATATTCAGTTATAGCAGAATTAAACACCAATACTTTCATATCATTTGAAGAAACCTCTTCTTGGCTCACAGATTTAGGCATCAAAAAATAGCGATAGGCAACATTTATTGCAGGCGATCTATTCCTTGTGCTAAGTATTTGACATACCTCCTCTCATGAATGTATGTACATTACCATACAACTCTATAAATGGATGCTTTTATTCTTATTTTATAAATGAGGAAAGTGAGGCACAGAGATCACATTATTAGGTGTTTAAATGTAAACTCGTTTACTCTTTCCAATTCACCACCATATCCCTATATCCTCTAACTCAGTGGTTCTCAACCTTCCTAATGCCTCGACCCTTTAATACAGTTCCTCATGTTGTGGTGACCCCCAACCATAAAATTATTTTTGTTGACACTTCATAACTGTCATTTTGCTACTATTATGAATCGTAATGTAAATATCTGATATGCAGGATATATTTTCATTGTTACAAATTGAACATAATTAAAGCATAGTGATTAATCACAAAAACAATATGTAATTATATATGTGTTTTCCGATGGTCTTAGGCGACCCCTGTGAAAGGGTCGTTGGACCCCCAAAGGGGTCGCGACCCACAGGTTGAGAACCGCTGCTCTAACTGGAAAGGATGAGGCAAGTCAATTTCAGCCTGAGCGTCTGAGCTAAATCTGTTTACAGACGTTGCCTACAGAAAGGGAGTCCGGATCTTAAAAACGTGACACATTTTGACGCTTAGGTTCACGCCTAACTTCCGGCCCTGTTTCTACGTACCCCTTTGGTACAGGAGCGCGGCTGCCAGGCAGGGTGTGGCTCTTTTTGCGGGCGAGCCAATGAGGTCGCTGGATCTTTGAGCGGCATGTCGTGTGGCCAATGGGCTCAGTCGCTGAGGCCCCGCGAGAGGACGGGAAATTGGGGCCTGACCATGTGGGTTCTTGGGCGTGGCAGGTGCGTTGAGTGCAGGCTTTTCCTGAGGCCCGCGGAGCTGGGAGAGGGGGAGGGCCCCGGTGAGTGGATACAATGCGGGTGTGGAAGGCCGAGGTCGCTCCAGTGCAGGCCCGTGGGCTTCCCCTCAAGCTTGTGGCGGCCGTGGTGGCCCTCCATGCCCACTGCGGACCGCCCCCACCCCCAGGCGCGAGGGGCCGCGGGCTGGGGGAGGGGGCGGCCGCGGGAGGGAAGTGGTTGTTTCTGTAGGAGGACACAGGGCCTTGAAAAGGTAGGAAGGAGGGAGGGACTCATGGGCGTGTTACGTGGATCAAAATGGTGGGCAGGAACTCGGGGTATGAGAACTGGTGCGCTTCTCAGAGGTGGAAGGAGGGTAGGATTTGCCTTCAGGGTGGGAGCGGCGTGGGGGGGGGGGGTCCTTCGGGTTAGGCCCCCATCCTCCTCGCCCCACCAAGCTCCCACCGGGAGTGGGGACGGTAGGCCGCGCCGCCAGCCTGTACTGGGACCCTTCCCTGTGGGACCTCCCAGCCAGGCAGCCATCTGCTAACCAACCGGAAGGGAGGCCTGGAGGAGGTGCCCACATCCGGAAAGGGGCGGATGGAGGTGAGGGTGGGCGGGGCAAAGGGAAGATTCCAGAAATCCTTACTTGGTAGGTGTTCAAGCGTCTCAGTGTGCCCCCTGTAGGCAGCTGAGGGTTCTGGAAACTGATTGCCCTTCAGTAAAGGAGTTTAAGGAATTGAAGGGGACAGTGTTGGAGGAAGGGGGGCATACCCTGCCATTTCAGTGTAAAAGAGGGCAGGCCAGTTAAAAATGTTTCTGGTAGATCCTGGACCGCCTTCGTTTATAGTATTGACTGAAGAATTGCCTGTCAGTCTTTTCTTTATGTGCATGACCCGGTTTCTCTAGCGAATCCGTAAAACAGGCTTGCAGAAGTTAAGAAGAGGCTTACGTAAATTTTCAGTTAAGAAAGATGCTTCAGGGGTCAGGGGTGGGTCAGGACAACGAAGTCCCTTAAAGAAGGATTCCTGAGTGCTACAGGCGATGAAGTGGTTTTGAGGAGGACCTCAGATTTGGGAAGCAGGAAGAGCCCCATCCCTGGTTACCTGGGGGAGAAAAAGGCGTTAAACGTCACCTGAAATTTAGCAGGTATTGTGGGCTCAAAGCAGAAAAGGTTTGGTGGAGTTTGGAAAGTTTTAGAGCAGCGGTTCTCAACCTGTGGGTCGCGACCCCTTTGGGGGTCGCCTAAGACCGTCGGAAAACATATATAATTACATATTGTCTTTGTGATTAATCACTATGCTTTAATTATGTTCAATTTGTAATAATTAAATTGGGGGTCACCACAACATGAGTGACTGTATTAAAGGGTTGTAGCATTAGGAAGGTTGAGAACCACTGTTTTAGAGAAAGGATTTGGGTAAGATGCATAGAGGCTACTAAGGAGATCGAGGAGGAGATGGAATCGTTTCATGTGATAATGAACTGGGGAAAAAATTATGGGAATATTGGTTGACAATATTACGATATGTCTGTGTTAACTCATGCTCATCCATAAAATATACTTCTTTCTAAAACAGTTAACGTAGGATTGAGTCCTCAAAGAGGCTGTTTAGGTAGAGAATATAGGAAAATTCAAGGAGTGCTTAGCCTAAGTCTAAGGGAATGCTCATGGGGAGGGTTTAGAATAATCTGGGATACATAGAAGCTTTTGAAGTGAACATGATACAGGAGGCTGGTTGTATCACCCACAGTACGTTTGTTTGTGTAGTTGTGTGTGTGTGTGTGTGTGTGTGTGTGTGTAATGCTTTGTGAGTCTGTCTTGAAGGAAAAAGAAAGCAGTCGGGAATCTTTAATATTTATAAAATGCTGGCAGGTAATTAATCAGAACAGGATCTGCACCCGAATCCTCTGCAGCCTTTCAATGGATCCTGTCCGACCACCCTTCAGGAGCCCTTCTGGGCACCCTTCTCAGTATGTACAGATGCCAGGCTCTTGGCTACAAGCTCCTAAACCTTTGGACTCAGCTCTGGGCAGGGCAAGGCCTGTAGGCAGAGGCTACATATTTGGAAAGCCCAAGGAACCAAGCCCACAGAACGGGACGGCACAACGGGTAAGACCATGTCTGGACACTGAGTAGCAGCATGTAGTGTATCAGAGAAAATGACGGATTTCAGAGCACTTGGGCAACTGTCAAGTCTTAGATAGGAAAATAAGGGTTGGGGTTTTTGGTTTTTTTTGGTGGGTTGAGTTTTGTTTTTGTTTTTCCTTTAACAAGTAGTGGCATCTTCTGGGCATATATTTCAAATTCTAATTGGGAGTCTAGAAAAAGTGCCTCATAATGAATGTAGATGGATTTGGATAAATGCCTTAGTCCTCTAGCGTATATAAATATACATATAAATATATAAATGATAGGTTTAAAGATACATCCTTTTGCTCTTTCCTGAGTGTTTAGATTTTTATTCTGGATTTGGCTCTGCGGTATTGGCAGCCACTCCTGCCTCTAAGGTAATAATTGTTAAGAATGGCTCTTTCTTTAGAAGACTCTTTGCCCAAATCTTTTTATTTTTTTTATTTACTTTTCTTTGCCCAAATCGTTAAAAAAGAGGATCTTCAGCTATTGCTACTGCTTGTATCTCCTAGTTATACAGAAATTTCAAGATGTTATTTGCCTATAATTAATCTAAAAAAATAAAGAGTCCTAACTGGTTTGGCTCAGTGGATAGAGCATCGGTCTGCGGACTGAAGGGCCCCAGGTTTGATTCTGGTCAAGGGCATGTACCTTGGTTGCGTGCACATCCCTAGTAGTAGGTGTGCAGGAGGCAGCTGATTGATGTTTCTCTCTCATCGATGTTTCTAACTCTCTATCCCTCTTCCTTCCTCTTGTAAAAAAAATCAATAAAATATATTTAAAAAATAAAAAATAAGAGTTAGCAAATATAGGGAAAACCTAATAACACAGTATAACAGTTTCAAGTAGAGTTGACAGTGTCAAATATAATACTCTGTAAAAAGAAAAATCGATACCAATAATCTGTATTTTAACTCAAATGAATTGCTTGAGTCTATGTGTGGCAGCTCGAACTAGTGAGACAGCAGTAAACTTTTAAGACTGCTACAGAAAAACAATAGCAAGTTTGTTGGAGGTTTTTAAAAAAACACACACACCATATACTGGCCCTGGCTGGGTAGGTCAGTTGGGCGGCGTCCCAATACGTCAAGGTTGTGGGTTTGATCCTCAGTCAGAGCGCATACAAGAATCAAACACTAAATTCATAAATAAGTGGAATAACAAATCAGTGTTTCTCTCTCCCTCCCTTCCTTTCTCTCTCTAAAATCAATACATTAAAAAAGATGATTTTTATTATTTACCAAGACTTTAAGAAAACCATCAGTGATTCTGGGGTTTTAAACCATATCTTGGAATGGCTTTATTCTTTGACTTTCCTCAGGAATCTGTGGGTTTGGTCTCCATGTTCCAAGGACTGGGCCTTGAAACTGTGTCCCAGACCCCTCTGAAGCAGGAAATGCCTTCTTTAGGTATGTAAAACACTAACTTGAGAAAACATGGTGGTATGTATACTTGCTTTATTCTTAAATTCATACAGTTTATCTTCAGAAAAATAACTATACTTTACAACATGTTCAACTCACAGTTATAGCTGGGGCTTGATCCTTCCATTCAGGTAGAGGCATTTTGGGTCGAGGCTTGACTCTCAGTGTGGTGCATAAGGAAAAGGAAGAGCCCCGTCACACTTTTCTGGATCCATCAGTGTTGGCTGCTGGTGATAGCAAGATGGCAGAGGCCTGCGCTGGTTGGAATAGGTGGGTAAATTCCCTTTTCAGGGAGCTGTCAAATTTAGATGAAATGTCTCTGCAAGTCCAAAGGGCAACTCTAAAAAGGTTGGATTAGCTCACAATGCATGGTCTTAAATTAAACAGTGGATACTTTTCAAGAGCACTGAGCAGATACTGATCCAGTTAATGATTGGAAAAGGGTAAAAAAGTAGTTCTTCACTGGACACTTCACAACTTCATTTGCCCTCTTAAAAGTTAACCTGATTGCAGTGGCTCTTTAATCTAAGGGAGTCAAACTTCCACCTCAATTCTGTTGTGAAAATTGGCTGAGAGTCGATATTAGTAGCAGTTGGTGGGTGAGTCATATTGGCATATTGGACTTGGAGAGAATCCCAAGGCTTATGTCCCTCTTGCTGACTCCTCCAGGAAGAGAACATAGACTTGAGGGAATCATTTAGATGGGGCAGAGATAGAAATATTAAGAAAGTCCTGATTTGCTTCTTTTTAACATTTCAGAATGCTTGGAAGGAATTCGGATGTACCTGTATTACCATTAGGAAGAGCAGCTTGTGGTATAGGCAGAGGCATATACAAGGCTCCCAGTGCTACCAGCATGCCTTCTCGGGGCCCTGCCCAGCAGCCATTACCGCCACCTCCGCCTCCATCCTCACTACAATCTCTGGATCGTCTTTCACTGGGGACAGCAGAGCACAGGGAAAAGTAAGTCAGGAGATCAGCCTTCTCTGCTTGGTAGTGATGTGGAAGGGAGCCTTCGCATCTATATATATAAAAGGCAAGTGACTGGAACCACCGATGTGCACTGCAGCGGCCAACCGGCCCAATCGGGGCCCCAATTGGCCCCCTCCCAACCTTCTGTGGCCCCTTCCCCTGGCCCCCTCCATCAACCACCCCCCCCAGGGGGCAGGGCCAGCCGACATACCACACCCTCCCACAAGCCCAGCCCCAATTGGCCCTCATTGGGGCGGGCTGGCCGGACCCCACCCGTGCACGAATTTGTGTATTGGGCCTCTAGTCTTATATAATAAAGGGCTAATATGCAAATCGACCGAACAGTGGAACAACTGGTCGCTATGATGCACACTGACCACCAGGGGGCAGATGCTCAGCGCAGGAACTGTTCCTGGTGGTCAGTGCTCTCCCACAGGGGGAGTGCTGCTCAGCCAGAAGCCAGGCTCCCGCCTCTAGGGCAGTACTAAGGATGCCCGACTAACGGCTTAGGCCCACTCCCCATGGGCTCCCAGACTGTGAGAGGGTGCAGACCGGCTGAGGGAACCCCGCTTCTAGTCTATATAAAAGCCTAAGTGACCATTTGACTGGTCACTATGATGCACACTGACCACCAGGGGGCAGATGGGCTCACGGTTGGTGAGCACAGCTGTGGTGACCCAAGCCTCCCCCATCTGGACTGGGATCGGGACTGGCATTGGGACTGACTGGGCACGAGCCCGCAGCCGCTTCTTGGTCATGGGTGCGCTGGTATTGCCCTAGAGTGGGCGTGTGGAGACCGCAGTGGAGCAGTGGCGAGCCTCCTGAGTGGCGGCAGCAGCAGGCGTAGCAGGGCTAGGATGAGCGGGAGCGGCGCGCCACTGGTCTTGCTCGGGTTCCTGCCCGGCTGCCTGCTGCTGCATGCCTTACTACATTCCTTGGGGGGATGTTGGACTGCCAGTTTTGGCCCGATCCCCACAAGCTACACTGAGGCTACACAGTTGCATGAATCCATGCACTGGGCCTCTAGTCCTATATTATAACAGGCTAATACGCAAATCGACCAAAGGGCGGAATGACTGGTCGCTATGACGCACACTGACCACCAGGGGGCAGATGCTCAACGCAGGAGCTTCCCCATGGTGGTCAGTGCACTCCCACAGGGGGAGTGCCGCTCAGCCAGAAGCCGGGCTCACAGCTGGTGAGCTCAGCGATGGTGGCAGGAGCCTCTCCTGCCTCCGTGGCAGCACGAAGGCTGTCTGTCTGATGGCTTAGGCCTGCCCCAGGGAGCAGTCCTAACTCGTCAGTTGGACGTCTCCCGATGGCTCCTGGACTGCAAGAGGGTGCAGGCCGGGCTGAGGGACCCCCTCCCCCCAAGTACATTAATTTCATGCACCAGCCTCTAATCCTATTTAATAAAAGAGAAACATGGTAATTGGCATATGACCGCTACCCTTCCCATTGGCTAATCAGGGCAATATGCAAATTAACTGCCAGCCAAGATGGCGGCCGGCAGCCAGGCAGCTTGAAACTAACATGAGGCTTGCTTGCTTCAGTGACGGAGGACTCCAACGTTCCCCGCCTGCCACTGCAGGCCTCTGAGCTGCAACTCTAAGCAACTATGTAACAAATATAGAAGCTAAACAAAACCCCAGAAACCTGCTTTAGTCCGTCGGGCTTCAGCCAGCAGGATCGCAACATTGTAAGCAAAGGCCAGAAACCTACTTTCAGCAGCAGAGGCCTAAGAGCTGGAGCCAAGCCTCAAAGCTAAAGCTGGCCCAGAATAGAAAAAAGGAGCAGTTGGGAGCTTCAGTCACCCCCAGCCTGAAAACAGCCCTCAGCCCCTCACCCAGACTGGCCAGGCACCCCAGTGGGGACCCCACCCTGAAGGGTGTGTGACCAGCTGCAAACAGCCATCATCCCCTCATCCAGGCTGGCCAGGCACCCCAGTGGGGACCCCCACCCTGAAGGATGTGTGACCAGCTGCAAACAGCCATCATCCCCTTACCCAGGCTGGCCAGGCACCCCAGTGGGAACCCCCACCCTGATCCAGGACACCCTTCAGGGCAAACCAGCCGGCACCCACCCATGCACCAGGCCACTACCCTATATAGTAAAAGGGTAATATGCCTCCCAGCACCGGGATCAGCGGAACCGCGAGGCCTCCCGGCACCGGGATCAGCGTGACAGGGAAGGCGCCCCAACCCCTGATCGCCCTGTGGCTCTGTGTGTAACGGTGTGGCGCCCCAACCCCCTGATCGGCCCTGCTCTGTGGGTGATAGAGGGCGGCGCCCCAACCCCCTGATGGGCCCTGCTCTGTGCGTGACAGGGGGCAGTGCCCCAACCCCCGGATTGGCCCTGCTCTGTGCGTGACGGGGTGGCGCCGCAACCTCCCCATCGACCCTGCCTTGAGTGTGACGGGACGGTGCCCCAACCCCCCAATCGGCCCTACCCTGAGCGTGACTGAGGGTGGCATCACAACCTCCCGATCGCCCTGCTCTGTGCATGACAGGGGGCGGCGCCCCAACTCCCCAATCGGCCCTGCTCTGAGCCTGACCAGGGGCTGCACCTAGGGATTGGGCCTGCCCTCTGCCACCCGGGAGCAGGCCTAAGCCAGCAGGTCGTTATCTCCCGAGGGGTCCCAGACTGCGAGAGGGCACAGGCCGGGCTGAGGGGCCCCCCTCCCCCCCGAGTGCACAAATTTTTGTGCACCGGGTCTCTAGTAGTATTATAAACATTGTTTCTGTGGTGTCTGAAGTCCTCCATGGGGTATAGGTATTGCAAGGTTGTTCGTTTGTTTTTTTGCTTATGGGGAAAATGACAAAGAGGTGGGACAATTCTGATGAAGTGAAATGGGATTTATGCCATAGAGATAGTATGTACCAGAGAGTGGACTTGTGGCTTTCCATTTCTTTCCCAATTCTTTGTCATGGTGAAGATAAGGAAATCATTTAGGAAAAACATTCAGCAATTCATTTTTCTCTATAGAATGCATTCTTGTATTCTTAGGTTAGCTGGCCTAATTTATCCTAGTGATATTACTAGGACAAATAGGATGACCTTGCTTCTTTAATTAGAGATTGCTACTCATTTATCTACTAGCCTTCAGAGCTTGCTTTTGTATGTCTCAATTCTTGCTTTGTGTACCTGTAAGCAAAGTGTAAAATATTACTTTACCCTATCTTACTTTTGTGTGTGTGTGTATGGTTTGGTTTGGTTTTGGTTTGTTTTGTTTTGGTATGTGTGGGTGCTTTTGCTTTTTATTTTCCAGAGAGCTTTTTGTGAAGCAAGGATCAAAAGGAATACCTCAACCTTTGGGATTGAATCTTATCAAAATACAGTGTCATAATGAAGCAGTTTATCAATATCATGTGACTTTCAGGTATTCACAGTTTTTTTTCTCTGTATTGTTCACTTCTTAGTAGTAATGAAATCATTCCCCTGGAATAGCTGAATATATTTTTGTGTAATTTCTGATGAACTTTTCCCCTCACTCCCACAATAGTGCATGTACTTGAATCCTTGCAGTAAATTTAAGGTTAACTTATTTATCTGTTTATTTATATTACCAATTCAGACTTTAACTTAATAGGTGCAGTTTTATGCATGAGATTAGAGGTGATTTACTGTGAGGTTAATGAAGCTTAAGTTCAGGGCCTTGTACTTATATAAACCCCCTTCCAGACCTTTTAACTTATTTTGTATCTGTAATTTTGTATCTGTAATTCCTCTTCTTAAAGATTCCCTCTTTTAGTGGATAGAGCCTGAAGAGTCCCAGGTTCAATTCCAGCCAAGGGCACATGCCAGGGTTGTGGGCTCGTTCCCCAGTAGTGGGTGTGCAGGAGTCAGCTGATCAGTGATTCTCTCTCATCATTAATGTTTCTATCTCTCCCATTTCTTCCTCTCTGAAATCAATAAAGAAATATATTTGGGGGGAAAAAATTGACAGTTCTCCAGTGACAGTCTAGGGTTAAATTTGAGGGTGAGAAAAATCAGAAAAAATAACTTTAATGTTATATCAGTAACTTTAGACTGAACGTACTTTTTTAAAATTAAAAATTCGTATTAGCTGGAGGTTATTAGCTGGAATTGTGAAAATGAACGTTTTGGAATATCTGTGGAGAAACTAGGGAGATGGAAGACTGATTTTTGAAGGACAATTACTAATTGGTACAAGAGGAAGAAGTGGAGTTAAAGAGAAGCAAGGAAGTTAGGGAAAAATACCCTGAAGATAGGTTATAAAGACCAAAGGAAGGGCCATTTGAATGGAGAACAGGTAGTTGACTTTGGCTACAGAAAAAAAGTTATTAAATTTGCTTCTAAGAGCACCCTTGGTAATCTTCTAGCCCTTTGTTAAAGTTATAAAGAAAAAACTAGACTAAAAGAACAAAGGAGAGCCCTAACTGGTTTGGCTCAGTGGCCTGCGGACTGAAGGGTCCCAGGTTCGATTCCGGTCAAGGGCATGTACCTTGGTTGCGGGCACATCCCCAGTAGGGAGTATGCAGGAGGCAGCTGATCGATGTTTCTCTCTCATCGATGTTTCTAACTCTCTATCCCTCTGCCTTCCTCTCAGTAAAAATCAATAAAATACATTAAAAAAGAAAAGAAAAGAAGAACAACAAAGGAGAGCATAGGAATAGCCAGTAAATTGGCCATTATTTTAAAGGTCTGTAGAGGAATGGGAAATTGAATGATAATTAAAGAGGGTAGCAGGATTGCTTTACAGATTTCTCTGAGATAAGAAAGCAGAGCTGAGCACATATGACAGGGGAAGAGAAGTATCTAGAAAAGAGGGTGAAATTGATCGTTGGAGAGTGGAAGGGAATGGGAATGGGCCTGTTCTGGAAGTAAGGGAAGGAGTTGAGCATTAACAAGAGAGAAGAACCTTTTATCTGGAAATGGATTGACAAGTGTTAATGAAACAGAAAAGAGTATAAGAGTCTTTACAGGTCTCTGCATTGACCAGGAGAAGACATGGATTCTATACATTTAGAGATTGTAGATCTGGACCTTTGAGGTTACAATGTGAAGAGGATGCCAGGCCACTGAGAGAATACTGAGTGGATGTGTTACAGTGGACTGATCGTACTGTATCTTCCTTGTACTACAGGGAGTCTAGAATGACATCTTTGAATATTATATTCATATAAATGCATGTATATGACTTTTTTAAAGAAGCATTTTGAAATGTTAGCATGTGAGTATTTGGTTTTGGGGACAACTATATTGGATTACCACTTTTAATCTTTATTCATGTTCTTGAATATGCTTGACTCTTTCAAGCCTTGGATTTGTTTAAACTTCGCGTTTATAGAACAAGGTTTTGTATTATTGTAAGGTAATGGGATAATCATGGTACAAAGGAGCTACTAGAGTTTTTATAACTAATATTTGTGGTAATGAATCAATAAAAATTTGAAATTTCCGCGAGTGAAAAAAGGTTAGAGTAAAATTCCATAATAAAGTTTTGCTGGAATGTAGCCATACTTACTGGTTTACAGAGCTTTTTTGCTATATTGGCAGAGTTGAGTAGTTGTAGCAGAGACCATATGGCTGGTAAAGCCTAAAATATTTACTATCTGACCCTTTACACAGTAAGTTTTTTGACTCTGTGGTCTAAACTCTGGAAGAATGTATACTAAGATTATATCCTATGCTAAGACATTTGTCTCTGGTGGGTGGAATTAAGGGTTTTTATTTTTTGTGAGCAAGTATCCTTGGGTCAAAGTTCTTTTTTAGTCACATATAGTATTTGAAATTTTAATATGACCACTAGATGGAGCAGTAGTCACACATCTGTTTGAATCAAATTAAAATAAAATCCTCTTTATTATATTCTAGCCCCAACGTGGAGTGCAAAAGCATGAAGTTTGGCATGTTGAAGGACCATCAAGCTGTCACTGGAAACATCACTGCTTTTGATGGATCCATTCTCTATTTACCTGTTAAGCTTCAACAAGTGAGACCTGAGAGTGTTCTGCTGCTTTGCATGGTGGCAAATGATAAACTTCCTAAATATTTGAGTTGTACTTTCCTATTCTTAGAGGGAAGTTAAACTTCTCTGTAACAAGGAAATGAAAAACTGAGAAACTTTTACATTTATGTTCTTCAAGAAGTCTCTTACATAAGAGGAGTGGTTGGAGGAAGCTTTTGATTTCAGTGACAAAGAGTTCATATTTTAAGAAAAGATATTTTAGTGTTTTCTGGGTTAGGTTAGGGCTTGCTATTTTTGTCATTACTTTTTACTTGCATTTATTTATTCATTAGGTTCTCGAGTTAAAAAGTCAAAGGAAAACCGATGGTGCGGAGATCAGCATTAAGATTCAGTTGACCAAGATCCTGGAGCCCTGCTCTGACTTGTGCATTCCCTTCTACAATGTTGTTTTCCGTCGGTGAGAAAACAGCTGCCGTTTTACTTTCCTTAACTTCAGTCTTGTATTTGTAACAATGCTCTTCAAGAAGCTTAGATGCTACTACACTACAAGTGTATATACCAGTAGATGAGTTGAATGATACTGAGGCTAAGTTACTCAGAAGTTATCTCTAGTGATTTATCAGATTTGGGTATGTGAAAGTAGGTTTGAGTTAATTGGATGTGGGATGGGCTCAGGAACTTTAAAAATGGGTGTTTAAAGTGCATATTTAATGGTATTAGTGATGGGGCTACTTGGAGAGGTAGTGGTAAAGATTTTTGCTGGAATAATTTTTTTCCCAGGCCCTTGAATTTTTGGATGTAGACAGCTCATAATTTTTAAACTTTAACACTCTCTAATTTCCATAATGTTATTTCCAAACCACCTCTTTTTTAATGAAACATGGAATCTAATTTCTATCTAGTAAACTGAACTGCCAGGAACAAACATAACTTTCTTTGCCAGAGTGATAGTCACAAATTTAGAAACTGACTCTCTTGCATGCTTTTTAGTTAATAATATAAATTGATCCTGGAAAGTCAACTCAATTTTTGGTTACCTAGTAACTAGGAAAAGCTCTAGTCAGTTACATATACCCCAAGGTAAATGCCGTGGTAATTTTTCTCATTCTTTTGTCAAGAGTGTTCTCATGATAAAAGTTATATTGTACAAAGGACACCAACATTTCGGACCCTTTAGGCTTCCAAAGGAAATGTAGCTAAAAATAATGGAGCTTAGTTTTTTGGATTATTCTACTAGAAAACCCATTCTTGCTCTTTATTTCAGGGTAATGAAACTTTTAGATATGAAGCTTGTGGGGAGAAACTTCTATGACCCGACGAGTGCTATGGTACTGCAGCAACACAGGTTGGTGGTGTTTTCCTCTTCCTCACTTGTAAATGTCTGGAAAGAAATTTTTCTTTTCTTTTAAAAATATATTTTACTGATTTTTTACAGAGAGGAAGGGAAAGGGATAGATAGTCAGAAACATCGATGAGAGAGAAACATCAATTAGCTGCCTCCTGCACACTCCCTACTGGGGATGTGCCCGCAACCAAGGTACATGCCCTTGACCAGAATTGAACCTGGGACCCTTCAGTCTGCAGGCCAACGCTCTATCCACTGAGCCAAACCGGTCAGAGCTGGAAAGAAATTTTTCATTGAAATCACCATATTAAAGACAAAAATCTCAGTATTTTATGATAGTGAATACAATTTACCAGTTAAATCTCCTCTATAGTTTAGTATTTTAGTAAGTTCACAGTGATGTTGATTTAATTGAATTTGTTTCCTAGTGCTTTCTCGTTGTTACTGGGGAAGGACAGTGTCCAAATATTATCTCAGATGCGGGCATGGAAGTGTCTGTGCTTCTTTTAAACCCTGAGGTAAAGCTCATCTATCTCTTCAGATTGCAGATCTGGCCGGGCTATGCAGCTAGCATCCGGAGGACAGATGGCGGTCTCTTCCTGCTAGCTGATGTCTCCCATAAGGTCATTCGCAATGACTCTGTGCTGGACGTTATGTGAGTGATGGTGGGATCCACCTTTAACAAGCTAACAGTTTTCTGAAAAGCTCAGGAATAGCTGGTAATCTTATCTAATAAAAGAGAAACATGCAAATTGACCATACCTTCACTACACTCACAAGCCACGCCCACCAGCCAATCAGAGTGACTATATGCAAATTAACCCAACCAAGATGGCGGACGGCAGCCAAGGAGCTGGAGCAAGCAGGAGGCTTGGTTGCCCCGGTGATGGAGAAAGCCAAGCTTCCTGCCTTCCCTGGCTGGCTATGGGCTCCACTCAAGGCAACAAAGTTTCAATTATAGAAGACAAATAAATCCCAGATACCTGCTTCCAACCAGCCTCCACTGGGAGCTTGGGTGGCTGGGGGCTGTGGCCAGCCTGCAAACAGCCATCAGTCCCTCACACAGGATGGCCACACCCTCATGGGGTGAGGGTCCCCGCTGGGGTGCCTGGCCAGCCTGGGTGAGGGGCTGATGGCTGTTTTCAGGCTGGCCATAGCCTCTTCAGGGTAGGGGGTCCCCGCTGGGGTGCCTGGCCGCCTGGGTGAGGGGCTGATGGCTGTTTGCAGGCTGATCCGGGACACCCTTCAGGGCAAACCAGCCGGTTCCCACCCATGCACCAGGCCTCTATCCTATATAATAAAAGGGTAATATGCAATTGACCCTAACAGCAGAATGACTGGTCACTATGACACACACTGACCACCAGGGGGCAGACGCTCAATGCAGGAGCTGCCCCCTGGTGGTCAGTGCGCTCCCACAGGGGGAGCTATGCTCAGCCACAAGCCAGGCTGACGGCTGCCAGTACAGTGGTGGTGGCGGGAGCCTCTCCCACCTCAGCAGCGCTAAGGATGTCTGGCTGCAGCTTAGGCTTGCTCCCCGCTGGCAAGTGGACATCCCCTGAGGGCTCCCGGGCTGCCAGAGGGATGTCTGACTGCCAGCTTAGGCCTGATCCCCCAGGGAGTTGGCCTAAGCCAGCAGGTGGACATCCCCCAAGGGGTCACAGACTGTGAGAGGGCACAGGCTGGGCTAAGGGACCCCCCCAGTGCACAAATTTTTGTGCACCGGGCCTCTAGTAATTCGTAATAGCCATTGTTCTGATTGGGTTTTAAATTGTAGAACTAATGTAGAATGTTGAATGGAAGTGTGCTATCCCATAAGTCCTGCCAAGATAGAGGGGGAATTGTATTTAAGTCTCTGGTTAAGAAGATTTGGTTTAATACACCCTAAGTTGTTGTTTAAGTGTGTTACTATAGCAAATATGTACAGTAGTAAGTATATATGTGTATAATTTGTAATGGCTACATGAAGTGCATCTGTGATTCATTTTTTAGTCTGTATACTTAGAAATGGAATTAGTTCATGAAAAGGCTGAACTTTTCAAAGACTTTAAATTAATCTATAATAATAAGAGCGTAATATGCTAATTAGACCAGACAGCCAAACAGCCTTCCGGACATCATTCCAGACATCCTTCTGGACAAAGCTGCGGTGGCTGGTCCCAAGGCAGAGGCAGTTAAGGGTGATCAGGCAGGCATGCACAGTGGGCGATCAGGCAGGCAGGTGAGTGGTTAGGGGTGATCAGGCAGGTAGGCAGGCGAGCAGTTAGGGACGGGCAGGCAGGCAGGCAGGCAGAGTGTTTAGGGACGATCAGGCTGGCAGGCGAGTGGTTGGGACGATCAGGCAGGCAGGTGAGTGGTTAGGGGCGATCAGGTAGGCAGGCAGTCAGACATCCCCCAAGGGGTCCCAGTTTGCGAGAGGGTGCAGGCTGGGCTGAGGGGACCATGCATGAATTTCATGCACTGGGCTGCTACTATTTAACACATTGCATACCGCATAGAAATCTCTAAGACATACGCCAGGGACCACACGTTTTTGGGCAAACTGCACGTTATTTAAATCATCATAATGCACTTTAGGTGTTGTTTTTCAATAATCATAACATTTTTATTTACAAAAACAATTAAACAATTAAAGTTCCTAGTACTTTTTTAACGTATGGTACTGTGTAAAACATTTTCCTCTACGAAGAGGGACCAAACAAAATTTACATAAGTATCTAGATTTGCTCCTTTATCCATGGGCGTGAAAAACGAGAACACTCGTGAGCGGTCCTTAACAGATGGCGCATGAAACACAAGAAAACTCCTGAGCGGTACGAAATGTGTTAATATAACAAGATATTTAGGTATATATTGACAAATTACCCTCTAGAAGTTTTATTCATTCAGTTTATTTTCCCACCAGCTGTGTACAACTACTGGGTGTTATTAGGTTTATAAATCTCTGCTTTATCTGATAAATTTATTCATTCCTTTACTCAGCTTCAGTTGTGTACCAGAGTCTTGGGATATATCAGTTAACAAAACAAAGAAAGATCCTTTCCCCATGGAAGTTATCTTGTAGTCATCTTAGATAAATAAATAATAAGCATGATAAGTAAGTTGCATAGTATACTAGAAGTGATGAGAGCCACTGAAGAAAGAACAGGTAGGACACAGGGTGAGATAGATGAGGAGTACCAGAGGCCTGGGTGGGGAGGGAGTAGAGCGCTGTAATTTTTAGTAGACTAGTCAAGCTCGTTTGAGCCAACTCTTGCAGGAGATAAGAGAGTTAGCTGGGTGAATATATGGGTGAAGGGAATTTTGGCAGAGGGACCGCTGGGGTAAAGGCCTTAAAACAGAAGTATGCCTGGCTTGTTCCAGAAGAGGGAGGGAAGCCAAGGGTTAGACTAGAGCGTGGTCAGAATAATGGAAGGAGGGAGCAGATGGAGGAGTGACGACAGAGAGCTCTGTAAGGCTAATGTAAAGATTTTAGCTTTTACCTGGAGTGAAATACAGGCCTTGTAGCCAAGCAGTGACATGGTGTGATTGAGTGTAAGGACAATAAACTAGTAGGATGGGGAAGAAGTGGGGAGACCAGCCAGGAGGCTATTGTAACCCAGTGGAGGCGCTGAGAAGTGGTTTGCTTTTGGATATATTTTGAAAGTAGCGCTCAGTCAATTTCCTGGCTGATATGGGGTATAAAAGAGAGGTTGAGGATGGCTCAAACTTTTTTGGGTGAATTTGTAATGATTTATTCTACCTCTTCTTAACCACTGGGGTCTCTGTCTCTTTCTCTCACATAGTACACCCAGCCCTAGTTTATTCCTAGCATGTAGTAAGTGCTCAAGAATACTAATAAGCTCTGGCCAGCATGCACAGTGGTTAGAGTGTTGAGCCACGCCCTGAAAGGTTCCCAGGTTTGATTTCGGTCAAGGGCATGTATGTGGGTTGCAGGTTCCCTGTCCCAGCTGGGGCTCCTGAGGAAAGCAACCAATTGGTGTGGGTCTCTCACATTGATGTTTCTCTCTGTCTCTCCTCTCTTACCCTTCCCCCTCCCTTCTGCTCTCCCTGAAATCAATGGAAAAAATATCCTTCATTGAGGATTAATAACAATAAAAAAAGAATACTAAAAAAAATAGATATCTTGCCCTGGCTGACATGGCTAAATGGTTAGAGCATAAGCCTGTGCACTGGAGGGTCATGGGTTTGATTCCCAGTCAAGAGCGTATACCTGGGTTGTAGGTTCGATCCTTGGCCCTGGTCCAGTCACATGCAGGAGGCAACCAGTCGATGTATCTCTCTCACATCAATGTTTCTCTCTATTCTCTCTCTCTCTCTCTCTCTCTCTCTCTCTCTCTCTCTCTCTCTCTCTCTCTCTCTTCCCCCTTCTCTCTCTCTCTTGCACTATCTCTTCCCTTCCACTCTCTCTAAAAATCAATGGAGCCCTAACTGGTTTGGCTCAGTGGATAGAGCATTGGCCTGCGGACTCAGGGGTCCCAGGTTTGATTCCGGTCAGGGGCGTGTGCCTTGGTTGCGGGCACATCCCCAGTGGCGGGGGGTGCAGGGGGCGGCTGATCAATGTTTCTCTCTCATCGATGTTTCTAACTATCTCTCTCTCCCTTCCTCTCTGTAAAAAAAATCAATAAAATATATTTAAAAAAATCAATGGAAAAAATATCCTCTAGCGAGGATTAACAAAAAATAAAAAGTAGATGTCTTTAAAAATCACTACATCTTTGTTTTCTGCCTTCATTTTTCTTCTTAGAAAGGTCTACTTATTTTATGTTTTCCAATGTTAACCTGGAATTTATCTTGGTATGATATTAGGACAAGTATGATTGTCTTGGTACTATTAGACAATTTATTGAAAAATGTTTTCTTTAGATTTAAATCACAACCTTTATCATATTCTAAAATACTTGGGATTATTTCTGAAAACTTCATTTTGATCCAGTGGTTAAAACTAATGTGATACTGTTTTAATTATTGTAGCTTTATTAGGTTTTAATACTTGTCAAGGAATTCTGTTTTCAGAATTATTTTTTTAAATATTTTCTCACAATTTTATTAATATGATTTTATAGATTTTTAGAGAGAGAGAGAGAAAGAGAGAGGGATAGAAACAGCAATGAGAGAGAAACTTCATTGATTTGCTGCCTCCTACACACCCCCCTACTGGGGATCGAACCCACAACCCAGTCATGTGCCCTGACTGGGAATAAACCATGACCTCCTGGTTCATAGGTTGATGCTCAACCACTGAACCACACTGGCCGGCTGGTTTTACTTTTTTTTAAACTTTTAGTTTTGTAAAAGTTTTAGTCATATTTTATTGTGACTGTGCAAAAGCTATCTACACTAATAAAAGAGAAACATGGTAATTGGCGTACAACCGCTACCCTTTTCATTGGCTAATCAGCGAGATATGCAAATTAACTGTCAGCCAAGATGGCCGCCGGCAGCCAGGCAGCTTGAAATTAACATGAGGCTTGGTTGCCTCAGTGACGGAGGAAACCAACGTCCCCCGCCTGCGGCTGCAGGTCTCTGAGCCTGCAGCTTGAAACATTTTAACAAATACCGCTGGACTTCAGCCAGCAGATTGGCAACATTGTGTGCAAAGGCCAGAAACCTACTTTCAGGAGCAGAGGCCTAAGAGCTGGAGCCAAGCCTCAA